ACCCCTCTCTGCTATAGGCCTCCAGTCAGTCACAACCAGTGTCAAAGGAGAAAATCTTCCTAGATGGGTAGGTGCTGTGTCTGTCAATGAACTCAGAGAAAAGGATTTTATGGTGAGTACAAAAATATCCCATATTCTCTTATGTTCATTTATGGACACAGCATCTCCTTTTTATCCATAACAAAGTAGGGATGTCCCCAAGCAGTGCCATAATGAGAGGTGGGCAAACTGATCAATGGAGAAATAAAAAACCCAGGGCAACAAGCCAACCTCCCAAAGAGGGTGCCCAGGAACACTAAATAGCCACCTGCAAAACTTTGTGGCCAAAACTAGCATAACAAGATCTCAACACATCATCCCTATATAACTTAGTAAATGTGTGCACAGACGGCCAGGCCACCACTTTGCAAACTTGAGAAATGGACGCCTGATGTCGGCACACCCAGGAGGTGCTAACCACCCTAGTGAAGAGCACCGTAACCAGTAAGGGCGGTTCCTGCCCCTTAATGGCATAGGCCTGTGCAATCATCTGTCAAATCCAAAATGGGAAATAGTGACAGAAGAGGCTGCCAGGCCCTTTTTCAGACCATCTGTGAGAATGAAGAAAGAATTGGGCCTCCGAAATGCAGCCGTTCCTGAAAGGTACACACGAATCACACAAACCACACCCAGGTAGTGCAGGGTCACCTCCTCAGGGTGCATTGGTCCAGAACACAGGAAAGGAAGGACCATATCCTCATTGAAATGAAAATCTGACACCACCTTTGGTAGAAAAGGAGGAGGTCGAAATACCACCTTGTCCTTGTGCAAAACCATATAAAGCAGTTTACAGGACAAAGACGCCAACTCCGATACCCGTCGTGCAGAAGTTATAGCGACAAGGAAGGCAACTTTTTGTGAAAGTCAAAACCCCCTTAATGAAAGTGTAAACCAAAGAATGCGAGCTTCCTGACTATGCTTATGGTTGTTATATCTGGCCAAATTCCTAAGTCGTTTTCAGTATTTGGAACACACACCGAGGTCCAGGAAGTGGAATGCGTGGTGCACAGACGATGAGTGTATTGGTGCCGAGATATTGGGCACCACGTTTTGCAAGTGTAAAATTTTTTATACTTTCTATTGCCAAGTCTTAATTAAATACTGCACAATGAGAGATTCTGTCTTTGTGGTCCTTGTGTGACATTGAAGGAGACATCGGGTACATAGGACAAGTGATGACTGGAGGAAAAGTGAGGAACAGCAGTTGGAGAGCATCTGGGGCAAACTGCTCTTTATGACCTTTTCTTTTAAATAAGAGGGTCCTGGATCTTTGGTGAGTGCATTATGGTGACACAGGAGGAGAGGCACTTTGGGAAGATTCGATGGCACAGAAACAGTATTTCCATATTGGTGTTGGACTGCCTGTAGCACTATTTATTGTTTGTTATTTTGGTTCATGGCATTTGGAGATTGAGTGCAGGGTGTCTATGGGGAGTGTAAGCATCCACTTATAGTTTCACTTTCACAAAGAATGCATAGCCAAGGATCGCTGAAAGAAAAAGAGCAGAAAAACTTGTCCCTTGATCGTACTGAATACAAGCTTCTGATCCACACCATATTCAAGGAAGGCCAACACCCGAGCCACAAAGGAACCCCAAGGCTTCACACAAACCAGTATAGCCTCTCCAGCAGAGGGAAATCTTCCAGGAGGTAGGCTTACAGGCCTTTAACATAGTCGGGATCACTGAGCCAGACAACCCCGTCCTTTAGAACCTGGCTCTCAATAGCCACGCCAGCAATGGAAAAGAAGGGTGGAAGACCACCCTGGAGACAGGTCTTCCCAAAGAGGCAATCTCTAGGGAGCGTCTGCTATCAATCACACCATGTCAGCGTACCACAGACGACGAGGACAGTCCGGAGCCACGAGGATGACTGGGATCCCTTTTGGCCTCTATCCTGCGTAGTAGATGAGAAATCATACAGGAAGAGTGGGAAGGCGCAGATGAGAGTGCACTGATCCCAAGGTACCAATAGTGCATCTGTCGCGTCCACCAGGGGATCCAACGATCTTGCCACGAACCGTGGAACCTTCTGATGGAGGCAGAAAGCCAGCAGATCCACGTCCGGTGTCCTTCAGCGAATCCAGAGCTGATAGAATACCTCAGGATGTAGGGACCACTCGCCCTGATCCAGCATCTGAGGGCTGAGATAATCCGCTTGCTAGTTTTTGATGTCTGGAAGGTGTACGGAGGACAGAGCCGAAACAACCCTCTCTGCCAAATTGCAGAATGTGAGATGCCTCCAGTGCCACTGCTGCACTTCTCATACCTCCTGATGATTGACATAGGCTACAGCAGTGGAGTTGTCCGACTGAATCCTGGTCGGCAGACCCGACAGGCGATCCATCATCCAATGTGCCGGTGACAACCTGATCGCCCGAAGCACCAGGATGTTGGATGGGTAAGCGAGTTTCCTCTGGAGTCCGGCGACCCTGAGCAGAGTCTGATCCCAAGACTTCCCAGTCCAACAGGCTGGCATCTGTCATGACCACTGTCCAGCGAATGGGAAGGAAGGACTTCCCAGTCTGTAGAGCTGTAGACCTCATCCACCAAAGAAGGGAGGCCCCCTCGTCGACCGCTCCAGGTGAATCTGAGTGTCCAAGGAGACGGAAGCCCTGTTCCATTTTGATTTCCCTCTGCAGAGTTCTCGTATGAAATTGGGCATACGGAACTGCTTTGAAGGTAGCCACCATCAGGCCTAACACCCACAAGCAAAAACGCAGGGATGGCCACCTGTAGGCCAAGAACTGCCGAACCGCCGACCAGAGCTTCAAAAATTTTTCCTACGGAAGGAACACCTTGGCTTGTTCCAAATCCAGGATGAGCCCCAGATACTTCAAGCGCTTGGGCGGGGTCACAGATTTCCTGGGGTTCAGGTTCCACCCGAAGTCCCGTAAAGGACGCATAGTGATTGCCACACTATCTAGGAGAGACTTGCGAGTCTTTGCAAGCAGGAGCAAATCGTCCAGGTAGCCAATCACTACGATCCCCTGTTGTCTCAGTAAGGCCAAGACTGGGCCTTGCACCTTGGTAAACAACCAGAATGCGGAAGCTAGACCAAAAAGGGGAGTGCCACAATTGGTAATGCGCATCCCTGATGGCAAAATGTAGGAAGCGCAGATGCCTTTTGAAATTGAGGATATGCAAGCAAGCATCCTTGATGTCCAAGGAGGCCAGGAAACTCCACAATGGAGGGAGGCTACCGCTGAGCGAATGGATTCCCTCTCGAACTTGTGAACCCACACTAAGGTATTTAGGGCCTTGAGGACCAGGATCGGGTAAACTCTGTCCGCCTTGGGAACTGTGAACAGATAAGAGTAAAAGCCTCGACAATGCTCCGAGGCAGGCACCAGGGTGATTCACTCCGCGGAGAAGCAGTTCCTGCCCCGTACAGGGCCAGTAGGTTCCATGGCGAGAGCTGCCACCAAAAAGACAGTCTCCCTGAAAGGGCAGGTCTGCCAGGGCCTTTTTGGAGGTCTGGTCTACTGACCAACACATGAGCCAAAGGATCCGCCGGAGTACCACAGCGGAGACAGTTTAGAGAGAAGTGGAGCTGCATCAAGGGAGGAGTCCCAAGTATACTTCAATCCCTGGACCTACTGACCTGTCAGTTCCACATAGCTACAAGCTAAAATAGTGTGATTACTGTCACAGAAATAAACATGCTACTGTTCACTGGCTGTAGCTCTTAAGGCTCCATGCACACTAGTGTTTTACCTTTTGTCGTTCATGACTTTTCATACAAGTTAATATTCTCGATTTACATCATGATAAATCGATCGTTTGTCCGGTTTTCTCATAGTGTGCACTGGGCTTAAAACTGTGCATCAATCCCTGTAGATATGTCAAACCTGGATGCGCAAACAGACTCTGCTTCCCAGCTGACTAAAACAGGCTGCCTGCATGCAGCTCCACACTACTCCAAACAAAAACAAACTGCTCTTCATGTTGTATGTGTCTCTTCGCTTGTGTGAATGAACCCTTAATGTAAAGTTACAGTACAGTGTCTGAACATTGTGTACTCACTGTGGGCATTGATAAAAAAAAAAATTAAACAATGGGAAAAAAAAGATACACTTTAACCACTAGCCTACCGGGCACTTATACCCCCTTCCTGCCCAGGCCAATTTCCAGCGCTGTTGCACTTTGACAATTGCGCGGTCATGCAACACTGTACCCATATGCAATTTTTATAATTTTTTTGTGACAGAGCTTTATTTTGGTGGTATCAGCATTTCTCTCCTCACGAGCTGTCACGCTGACAGCTCGAGAGGAGAGCCAGTAATCTGCATTCCACAGAGAGGACATGTACACTGATCATCAGGGCACTGATTATCAGTGTGCCCTGATGATCCGTGTAGCCCCAGCAGTACCACCTGTCAGTGCTCATCAGTGCCAGCTGTCAGTGCACATCAATGCCACATCAGTGCCCATCTGAGCTGCCTTTCAGTGTCACCTATCAGTGCTGCCTATCAGTGCCATATGAGTGCTGCCTGTCAATGCCCATCAGTGATGCCTGTCAATGCCCATCAGTGATGCCTGTCAATGCCTATCAGTGCCACCTACCAGTGCCTCCTCATCAGTGCAGCCTCATTAGCGCACATCAGTGAAGGAGAAAAATCACTTATTTACAAAATTGTATAACAAAAACTAAGAAACTTTTTAAATTTTCAGTGGTTTTTGGTTTGTTTAAGAAAAAAACCCCAGAGGTGATTAAATACTACCAAAATAAAGCTCTGTCACAAAAAAATGATAAAAATGTCATATGGGTACAGTGTTGCATGACCGTGCAATTGTCATTCAAAGTGCAACAGCGCTGAAAGCTGGAAATTGGCCTGGGCAGGAAGGGGGTATAAGTGTTCTGTAGGCTAGTGGTTAAACCAAAAACCACTGAAAATTTTTCAAAAAAATTTTCTTCGTTTTTGTTATAAAATTTTGTAAATAAGTGATTTTTCTCCTTCACTGATGTGCGCTAATAAGGCTGCACTGATGGACACTGATAGGTGGCACTGATGAGGAGGCACAGGTAGGTGGCACTGATGGGCATTGAGAGGCATCACTGATGGGCACTGAAAGGCAGCACTCATATGGCACTGTTAGGTGGCACTGACTGGCACTGATAGGTGGCACTGAAAGGAAGCTCTCAGATATTGGGCACTGGGACTGATGTGGCACCGATGGGCACTGGCAGGTGGCATGGATGAGCATTGAGAGCTGGCACTGATGGACACTGACAGGTGGCGCTGCTGAGGCTACATAGATCATCAGGGCACACTGATCATCAATGCTCTGATGATCTGTGTACATGTCCCCTCCGAGAATGCTGATTACCGGCTCTCCTCACGAGTTGTCATCGTGACAGCTCGTGGGTAGAGAAATGCCAATAACCGGCATTTTCCCTGTTTACATGTGATCAGCTGTGATTGGACACAGCTGATCACATGAACGAGCCGACATCTTCGGCTCTTTCCGTGGATCAGTGATCCGCTGTGTCCTAGGGACACAGTGCACCACTGATCGCCGTGCTCCGGGCGCCGCGCATGTGCGGTTAGAATGGGAGGACGTCATATGACGTCCTACCAGAACGAGAGAACCGCCTTGTGTCCGTCAAATTACTATATGGCGGGCGGGAGACTGTTAAGCACAGCTACAATGCTTCCTGGATAGCATACACTGTTCAGTGATTTAATTTGTTGTCTCGGCATTGGATGCTGCCTTTCATAAAAAAGTTAATCAGGTGGCTTCTTATAATCTACGACAGAAGTTCACTTGCTCAAGCCACATAGATTTGTTATTTTTTTTCTTTTAAAGTAGATCTAAAGCCAATCACCATAACATTTTAAGTTTTGCCATGTCTATTTAATTGCAAAATCATTTTCAAAATTTTTTAACCTGCAGCTTTCATTAAAATAAGACCTGGTAATCCTGACGTGAAACTGTCACCCAATTAACTCCTGCGTTGTCACTCTTTCAGTGTGCCCCTAGTGGATACTACAAGTGGCTGTGCCGAAACACATTGTGAAAGGCATGGTCCACTGTTATCACCATAGTGAAAGTCAGTGTTGAGCAAACATTACCTTCAACAGTCACTGTAGGTCATGCATATAAACAGGATGTGGCTGCAAAGAGATTGCAGATCAGCACCACCAAAATGAAAAAAGGATAAATAAATAGTTAAAATACATTTAAAAAAATTATAAGCAGTGCTTTAGCAAACCAAATGTAATCCAGGCAAAGGTAGGATCTGTGTGAAGCATGAGGTGAAGTAAATAATACATTTAAATTCAGATAAAGCCACACGCTCTTGCAAAACTGTAAGCATTGGTATAGCGTGGGCAGTCAGCATGCAGGGCAAGTAATTTGCACCCCCCTAACCCATGGGCTTTAAGGCTCCATGCACACTGGCAGCTCCAAAACCGCTATAAAATACGCTGGATAAAAAGACAGCTTCCCCGCTGACAGCTGAATGTAAAACCACTGCCAGCAATGAAAACTACAGAAAAAAAAAAAAAAACAGCGAGGGGACCCATCCCCCCCCCAATCCATATCAGGCCCTTTGGGTCTGGTATGGATTTTAACCAATTGCCTGCCCAGCACTTATACCCCCTTCCTGCCCAATCCAATTTTCAGCTTTCAGCGCTGTTGCACAATTCGGCCCCTTCCCCTTTATTTTAACATTTTGGCGTGGTGTTCCCCTCAAAATCCATACCAGACCTAAGGGCTGCCCCCCCACGCTACGCCACTGACTGAAAGGTATAGTAAAGGGTTTAAAATCAATGTCAGTGAGTTGTTATTGCCACAGTTTGGAGTTGAACATTTGCCTATAGTAAATCACTCCTACCTCCACACTCTCCAGTGAAGAGGACCTTCTCAGGGAGCTTTTCTTCTTATTCTTGCCTTGATGAGTCTCTTGCAGATGCTTGTTGGCCTCGTTTTCTGAAGCTTCATGCTCAGGTCTAGTGCGACGGCCATATTTCTTGGTACCTTTCACAAACTTTGGTTTTACCTCATCAGGAATAACTAAGCAAAAAATAAATACTTATCACAAAAAAGGAAAAGTGCTCACCTACCTTAAATACACACTATAATGATCATACAAGCCTTACCCGGCTCCAAATAACTGCTCTCATCATCATCCTCAGATGTGCTGATGTCGATAGTTGATGAAAGGACTGCCACAAATCCTTCTTTAAACTCCTCAAAATTAACCTAGAAATGCAGGAAAATAGAAACTTCAGCTGTAATGCCTCCAGATGTGATGAAAATTTCAAACCATTTATTATCCATGCCTGCAGCTTGTGAGGAAAGCGTCAATATGTATTTATGATTAACCATTATAGATAGAGGAAGTCCTTTTGTCTACAGCACTACATGGCCCAAATCTTTCCAAAGACCAACATTCTCATAAAGCATACCCATTTTCTTAATCACGTTGTTACCCTGCTGCCCTGTCAGTGGCCTAGCTATACCAGTCATGAAACCAGTTCAGATCTTTGTCCCAGAGTCCCACTGTACTATACTCCCAACTCTCCCTGCAGTTTATTTAATTTGATATTATGAAGTTTGTGCTAAGAGGAGAAATGCTGCATTAAGCAGCTAGAACACAGAGTTGGCGAAGCCTCTTCATGTATCGCCTGCATTTGGCAACGTGATATAATCTTATGGCCATGTACAAGGGAAGAGTGCACTAGGGTCACTGCCCTGGCAAGTGTGAATACATTTTGAGCAGGAAAGTGGCCAGAACATGTCTTGGCCCCATAGAGCAGGGGGCCAGTTGGAACTGTGACCACAGTTCCTATGCCAATGCCTGTCTTTTGTGTGCACTAATTATGCCACAAATTTTGACAGAACTAAACAGCAATTCATTAGCCACAGTGAAGAGAAAGGCAGGAGGAGGTGATAGCACTCAGTGTGCACAGAGAAGAGAGGGAAAGTTTTTTATAATGAGGTGGTCTTAAAGCAACCCAAAATCCCTCTTAATTAAAGCGGTAGTAAACTTTGAGAAAAAAAAAAAAACCAAACAAAACAACTTTCTCCCTGCAGGGTAAAGGCATAAGGTGCTATTATGCATTGCATACTAGAACATTATGAAAACTTACCTTGAAAAGAAGCCTTCCAGCATTGTGCTGTCACCACTGCAGAGGCTTCCATTTTCACCTGGTCTTCCTTCCGAGTTCGCAGCCTGCAGCTGCCTGATCGGCTTAGCTGCGTTGACCTCACTTCCATGCATGCGCACAGGAGTCATGACCTGTGGCACAGAGCTCTGAAGGAACGGCACAGGTATGCCCTTCCTTTAGAGTTACGTCACCGACTGCCGAACAAGCGAATATCTCTTAAACAGTGCATGATTAAAAGATATTCATTTTCCCTACAGGTAAGCTTTATTATTGTAAGCTTACATGTAGCAAAAAAACAGTAGTAGTTTAATACCACTTTAATACATGAGAACCTCAATAATGCCCACTTAAAACAGAAGGGATTTGCATGTCTCACTTTCATTCCATGCAAATGACTCCTTTTATGGCCCAGACCAAATGTACTTCAGAACTACTGGTTTATAGTAGAAATATACTCTAATATTTTACAAACTGCTGTTTCAGGCTAGTTGGCCATCATCAGTGCAGTGTATGAAAACTATGGCTTTTACTGAGTAGGGAATGACACAATAGAATAACTAAAGGCCTTATGGTGCGGAGGGCTTAAAAGCAACAAAAAGCTTCCCCACTTAGGTCCCTTGCACATGGGAGAATCTAGATTCTGTGCGTTCCTTCCACTATTTTATTGCACCCAGGTGGCACAGGTGCAGTGTTCAATCTGTCTGCCTGCAGCATGTCAAAGTCCTTGGTGGTACTGATATTTTGGGCCAAATACATTCAGTGAGGAGACCTGTGTTCCAGGCATTCATCCCTGAATGCATAGGGCCCTAAATGTGTGTACCACTCTGTACAGCCTTCAGCCCCATCCAGCCACAGCCTGCCATAGACTTTGACATACTGGAGGCAGTGGGGCTGGATGCTGCACCTATGCCTCTCAGATGTAATAAAACACATGGAGGCCTGCACAGCAGCAGGATGCCTCACTGTGCAAGGGGACGATGCCAAACTGACCCCTGATCCCCTTCCATAATGTGTGAGCAACATGTGTCAGTAAAATTGCCCTCCCTCCCAAATTAATCCAGCACTGATCTGCAGCCCCCCCCCCCCCCCCCCCCCCCAAGCATAAATTCCCTCTGCAACCAAAATTCTGCCAAACAAAAATGCATAAAACTCCTCCTCCTCCCAGCACAAAGCCCACACCCTCCATCCCTGCTCCCACTCTCAAATACCCCAGTCTCCAGCAAAAATCCTCCATCCCAAATCTCCCAGTCTCCAGCACAACCACCCCCCGTTCCTCCAATCGTGTTCCCTGTACTATTCAGCAGGGAAAAGCTGCCAGCTGCTGCAGTGTCAGCGATCATGGCATCAGAGACTTACTAATGAGGCTGGCTGTCAGATCAGGAATTTATAGGGTTTGCTTACCTGCCCCCTAATTAAATTGTTTGTTGCTGGGACAGGAGCAGTCTAGGAAGGTGGTGGCCAGGGATTTAAAATGGCTGCAGAAAGATGCAGACAGGGCTCGGGTAAGCAAACCTGCACAGTCCTGAGTCCCTAACTGACAGCATTCCTATGTTAATGCCTGAATCTAGGAGTACTGCAGTGGCAGGAGGGATGAGCTGGGGGGATGAGCTGGGGGGATGAGCACAGCCTTCACCTCCTCCCTGCTCTCTCCTCCTCTTCAGATTTGGCTTGCCACTTCCAGTGCTAAGCCAAGGAGTAGCGATGCTGTTATCATTACTACTGTTTGCCTGTAGTGACGGGACTCACCACCTCATCCCCCTCACCACATGAGACAACTGCACCCGGGGCATCTGCTCCCCACCCCACACACACCTTTGTCCCAGCCCTGGAAAGGGGCCTTGATTAGTGAGGAACACAGGAGATTCTACAAAAAGGTACTTGCATGTCTCCCTTCCATATCAGACCCAAAAAAAATAAAAGGCAGGATTTACATCTGCTGACTGTACTTAAACGAGGAAGGCACCCCTAATTTTTTGGATCTGTAATGGAAGTGAGACATATAAATACCTTTTAAGAAGAAATAGGAGTAAGAGCTGGTTCTCACTGAAGCAAATTACAGTTTCAATACTGATTACAAAAAGGAACAGAAAATACAGTTGCAAGAAAAAGTATGTGAACCCCTTGGGATTACGTGGAGTTTTGCATGAACTGGGCATAAAATGTGCTCTGAACGTCATCTACTGTAGATAATTGGTCACTATGGTCCTTTCTCAGTAGATACGATAGTTCCTGTACATTTACCATATTTATTAAAATTGCACAATGTATACATAAAATGCACCCTTTTGAGTATGAAAAAACTGTTGGATCAGGGAAAAGTCACTGAAAAAGATTTATATATTTATACAGCCATCTCTCATCTCGTTGTTATAAAAATGGAGGACTGATACATATTGCCCTCATATTCCTTCTGTACTGAAATGTATTGTAATTGTACTGTCTCCCTTATATTGTAAAGCGCTGCGCAAACTGTTGGCGCTATATAAATCCTGTATAATAATATTACATATGCATATTATAAAACTGGTTGTGTATAGTGAAACCAAGTAGCCAGACAATTGTTGATGCGTACAAGAGGTTCAAAAGGAATAATGTATGTTTACTCTTCTCAGTGAGATGCTGAGCAAATAAAAATGTTTTGAAATGTGTTTTGTTACATGAACTACATCACACTCAGGAATATAATTGTTTGTAGACATCTGTGTTCCGGGACGGCCATGCATAAACCGTAGTAACAAAATATGTTCATTATGTCCTTTCTTTTCCTGACATTTCAAATAAAAAGAAATGTTATAGCACAATGGTAAGTATTTGTTTCAAGCATGTGCTTCAATGCACATCTGAAGCAAAGCTTTCCTTTTAGGATGTCCATTCCTTCCTAATCACATTCCTATTGCCCTGTCACTCTGATAGGCTTGGCCAGAATGGGCAGCAATCTCTAACATTACAAGCACGTCACAACTTTGCCTGTTAAAAATGGCCAGCATTTTCCATAAGAGACTGAGAGCTGATGCAAGTATGTGTGGGTACCTCTAAATAGCAGCTCTATCTCTCCAGAAATTGCAAGAAAGGTGACTGAAAAAGTTTTGTTAACCTTCGGGTCCATTCACACCACTTGCAACGCAGTAATGTGCACTGACACGATGAGATTTAAAGGCCAAGTTCACCATTTGTAAAAAAAAATAAAATAAATGCATACATTTTTGCAGGGTATAAAATGAGTATTTTTTTTTTTTTTTTTTTTTACTCTGCGGCCTGTAAAGAATTATACCCGCGATCAGCAGATTGCGGGTGCAATGCTAGGATCCTGCAGCCTCAGCGGAGAGTACCTCCAGACCAGTACTGGCAGACAGTTGCTGAAGTCCAGGGAAAAAAAAAAAAAATGAACAAGAGTGCTCACCAGCACCCTCGCAGTCCAATGAAAACAAGTTTTTTTTTTTTTTTTTTACTTACCAGAAAGTTCAATTATTTTTATTTTATTTTTTTGTTGGAGGACAGTGCAGGACACAGGCTGTTTGAAGACAGTCATGAAAGACCTGTATTCTTTCATGAGAAAGGTAAGCAGGTCTGAGGGCATATTAGAGGCAAAAGGGGGCTGCCTGTACACCCTAGGCCCATAATTCAAAATGTCCTGAATCCAGGCAGCCAAAAAAGCCTGCACACAACCCCCACTTGGAAGTGCCCCATCATTGTGAGGATTTAATGCTAGAGCTGGCTTGCTTGGATGTCCAGGACTTCCAACAGAACGGATTGGAGGACTTGGCTATTTTAAATGCATTTTTTTTTTTTTTTTTTTTTTTTTTTTTTATATATTCAGGGAATCCGCCAGACTGTCAACTATCTGTTCAAGACTACTGGTAGGAGCTCCAGCTTTTGGAACACTTCGGTATCTGTCAGGACCACTCCAGAGTTGCAAGTCATGTGTTTAGCCCACATTACCAGGGATGGCAAATGGTCATAGACTCTACCAATAGATGCATGACCAAACTCGACAGAGTAAAAGAGGCTTTCAGGAGAGTTCCAGATATTTTGTCCACTGGCTCTCTGAAGGCTTGAACATCCTCAACCGACACCATAAGGGATTTGTGGAGGCAGGAAATAGCCAGACCCACCACAGGCACTTTTCACTCTTTGTAGTAGTCTTCCTCCACTGGGTAGTGCTGTGCAAACCTTCTGGTGCACACATTTTATCTGGTCTCTGCCAATCCTTGTACAAAACAAACTTTCTATACTAGTGGGTGAACTGGAAAAGACCTTTGAAGTTTCCTAGATTTGGAACCATATGGAATTTGTGGATAAATAAAACCATTGGTAACATTTATTTGTTAAACCCCTATAGCATTCTCTCGGAACTGTTACATATTATCTCTTGTTGCAAGGCCTACTGCCCATATTAAAAGGACATTTGTTCAGAAAAGAAAAAATACCTAAAAATATTTTCACATAGAAAAAAAAAATTTTCATAGAAAAAAATGTACATGCAGATTCACTGGAAAAATAGCATTTTTTTTTTTTAAATCACAGACTCCTAGAAGTCACTGATAAATGGTGCTTCTTGGTCAAAGCCAGCCAACAGAACACAGACCATCCCTGACATAGGCCACTACTGCTACTCACTTGAAAATCGTAAGGCACTTTAGGTCCACTTTAAAGCAGAGCTGATTTGACAGCAAACTATTCTGGATGTTTAGTTTAGGATTTGATTTACAGATCTGAATAGTCCTGGAATTGGAAACCATAAAATATTTTTTGTTTAGACCAGATTTCTCCTTTATTCATAATATATTACCCTGGCAAAATGATCATTTCCCAGTAGTGTCCGCAGCAGTAATGGGAGCTGTGCATCCAGATGGAGCTTGTGACACAGATCTGTCAACTCATCTTTGTCCAGGTAACCCGTGCCTGTTGTGTCACAGCTTGTGAAGACCTCCTGTAGCTGAGACACATACTTGTTCTCCTCTTCCTTGTCCATCCCATAGCAAACTGCAGAAACAAAAAATAGTAACAGTCAGTTCAAAAAGTACTGGTCACATTACACAACGCAATTTATGTAGAAAAAAGACACGCATAAGAGGGTCTCCATATCGAAAAGGAATGGTTTATAAAGTAAAGCCACTATATGTGACTAGGATACAGTGGGTAAAATAAGTATTGAACGTGTCACCATTTTTCTCTGTAAATATATTTCTAAAGGTGCTATTGACATGAAATTTTCACCACACGATGGTAACAACCCTTGCAATCCACACATACAAAACAAATATGTTCAGCAATTAAGTTATGTGTAATAAAATGGAATGACACAGGCTAACTGGAAATTATTTAATACTTTGTACAAAATCCTTTGATCATGACAGCTTCAAGACGCCTCCGGTATGGGGAAACTAATCCCATGCATTGCTCAGGTGTGATTTTGTCCCATTGTTTACAGTCTTCAAATCTTGATCACACAGTCTTCAAATCTTGAAGGTTCAGTGGGCCTCTTCTAAGAACTCTGATCTTTAGTTCTTGTCATAGATTTTCTATTGGATTCAGATCAGGCGATCGGCTGGCCCATTCTAGCAGCTTTATCTCCTTTCTTTGAAACCAATTGAGAGTTTCCTTGACTGTGTTTGGGATCGTCTTGCTGCTATGTCAACCCTCGTTTCATCTTCATCATCCTGGTAGATGCCAACAGATTTTTATCAAGAATGTCTTGGTACATTTGTCCATTCATCCTTCCTTCAATAACATGAGGTTTGCTGGTACCGTATGCTAAAAAACAACTCCACACCATGATGTTCCCACCTCCAAACTCCACTGTTGGTATGGTGTTTTTGGGGTGATGTGAAGTGCCATCTGACCTCCAAACATGGTGTGTATCATGGTATCCAAAGAGTTTGCTTTTGGTCTCCCCTGATCAGACTATATTCTCCCAGTATTTCAAAGGCTTTTCTAAATGTTGTGCAGCAAACTTTAAATGAGCTTCAGCATGCTTTTTCCTCAGCAATGGAGTCTTGCGTGGAGAGTGTGCATACAGGCCATGGCAGCTGACTGCAGAGTGTGCATACAGGCCATGGCAGCTGACTGCATTTTTTTTTTTTTAATTATTTTAAAAACACTGTACCTGTTCATTCCAGGTCTTTCTGAAGCTCTCCACAAGTGGTCCTTGGCTCTCGAACAACTCTTCTGATAATTCTTTTCATTCCTCTGTCATAAATCTTGTGAGGAGCACCGAATCGTGGCCGGTTTATGATGAAATTATGTTCTTTCCACTTCTGGATTATGGCCCAAATAGTGCTCACTGGAACATTTAGAAGTTCAAAAATCCTTCTATAACCAATGCCATCAGTATGTTTTGCAACAATAAGGTTGCGAACGTCTTGAGAGAGCCCTTTGCTTTTACCCATCATGAGATTTTTTTTTTGGTAACGAGACACCTTTTTATAGGCCATCAGTTGAGACTGAACCAGCTGATAATTTGCACGACAAGGGGCAGGATTGCTTTCTAATTACTTATAGATTTCAGCTGGTGTCTTGGCTTTCCATGCCTTTTTGAATCTCCCTATCTTTATGTATTCAATACTTTTTCCCTGTGTCATTCCATTTTATTACACATAACCTAAATTTCTGAACTTATTTGTTTTGGTTTCTTTGTAAGTATGGATTGCATGGGTTATCGACATGTGGTAAACATTTCATGTCAAAAGTACCTCTAGATTTGTATTTACTGAGAAAAATGGAATAGTGTTCAATACTTATTTTACCCGCTGTATATAAAGCAGAAATGAGCCTTTATAAGGTGCCAGATCGATTGTGCCTGTTACAATAAAAATCTCCCTGCCATTGCTGTTGGGCCCTCCAGAAAACTGAGCACCTAGCAGGGCAACCTGCTTGTAAAGCTGCCATAATTCATCACAGGTTTGTAAGCACCTTAAGTAATCCAAAGCAACTAGATTTCTGTTATGCTATATCTGTAAAAATGTGTTTTACTTGCCCATACTACATTTTTCACATAGTCTCTGTTTTGCTCCAAAGTCAAAATAAGACTGTACTGCACATACCTTACCTTTGCCCTTCTGTTCAATGGAAATCTTTCTCCCGCACGGAAGCTAACACTACCAGAGTGTCAATATCCTGGGTCCCAGAAGTGTTGGTTTCCATGCGGGACTTCAGAGAAAGATGTCTTGTAAACTGTGCAGCATTCTGGCACAGCAGTCAGTAGGAAAGATAAGTATTCAAGATCTTATTTTACAAAAGTTGTCTAGGGATTTTTTTTTTATAACAGTGTCAACTTAAAGGAAGGCAGCAGTCAGAAAATACAGGAGGTTGGCATTTCTGACCTCTTCTGGAAAGTCTAGTTTCTTGGCTGCCATGTTCTTCACATGGCTTGTTACTTTCTGCCTCACTAACCTGTAGGAAGAATGAAGATAAGTTCTGGTTTAAGTGAATCAGTGTTTTGTTTATGTATGACAAAGAAACAGGTTCACATTAATGCAAACCTTTCCAGCAAGATATACTTGCTTCCTTTAGGGGAGCAAAAACAAAAGTAAGGAAAAGAAACCTTGTGTGGACTCGAAATCACTATAGTCTGAGCTTAAACAGGATTGTGGCCTGTCTGTGTACCCCTATAGGGCAATGATGGACCAAGCATCAACACACAGATGAAGGGACTAAGTCACATGTTTCTTCATACCTGGAAGTACCAGGTATTTTCTTCCTTCCTGGTGTTGGACTGAAGCAACAGGGGAACAAAGAAAAAAGCAAATATTAATGGTTTGTGATGGGGCATTTAACTGAACCTGTTACTTTGTTCTGCATGGGCAAAGCACAGATTTGCTTTTACTCTCTATTCTGAATGACTGCTCAGACTCAAAACAGCCCGGAAACTAGCAATTGTACTAGGAGATCAGCTATGGCAGTCTCACATTTCTTTCATTACAGGTTTCCTTTTGGTTACATCATTTTAGCTGGCTTCTGAACCACTTTGACAGCGTGCAGAGATTTCTACTCTGCGTCGCAATAATCATTGTGGCATGAAGCAATGGGAATGTTTTTCCCTGTAATTCAACTGCTATTTTAAGTGAAGCTTGACATCCTGAATACTATGTCAGCACATTTTTTTTCTGCACAGTGCCCAACCTCAGCATAACCAATTAGAAGAAAACCACAAAGCTAATATAACACCAAATTCTTTCTAAAGTACTCTGGAGTTTAGAATGGCAGTTTATATATCTCAACATACAGTATAAGCAAAAATGGGACTTTCAAAAGACACTATTGTATCCTACCAGGATTTATGACAATGTTAACATTTTTTTATAGAAATGCTCACAGGTATGCGACTGTAAAACATTTTTTTTTTAATACAACTCTATTTTCCACAACTCTGGGTATACTAAAATATTGAATGGTAGTACACAGAAATTCATTTCAACTTCAACTTTCAGCAGACTAGAGACTGTGGGGTTGATTTACTAAAACCGGAGCTTACAAAGTCTGGTGCAGCTTTGCAAAGAAACCAATCCGCTTCCACATTGTATTGTCAAAGCATAATTGAACAAGCTGAAGTTAGAAGCTGATTGGCTTCCATGCACAGCTGCACCAGATTTTGCTCTCTGAAGTTTTAGTAAATGAACTCCTGTGCTTACTGAAAGGAAAGCCTCAGTCTTGGTTCACACTACTGCGACCTGAAAGTTGCGCGACTTGCAGTGCGACTTTGCTAGGCGACTTGAGTATTACTTTGAAGCAACCCTGAAGCAACTTTCAGGGAATGCCTGGGTAATCTTCCTGTAATGTCAGATCCAAATGACATCAATACAGATTAGGATCTGACTTGGAGGTGGCTTTCATTAAAGTCTATGGGCACAAGTTGGATAGAAGTCTCCTTGAAGTAGTACAGGAACCTTTTCTAAAGTCAGAGTGACTTCAGTAGTGTTAATTAAGAGAGCTCTCATTTGCTAACATGGAATGTCACATATCATGCAACTTGGGGTCTCACAAGTTGGATCCCAAGTCGCAGCAGTTTGAACCGAGTCTTAAAGTTGCACATCATTGCTTTTATACCTTACTAGGTAAGCTCATGTATAGGTTTATTAATTTACAGTTTGCAATAGGCAAGCCAACAATATTTTAAACAGACATAAACTACAGCTAGTATTAGTATTTTTGCCAATGTATATTTAATGCCAAAATGTATTTTTTCAATTTGAATAAGGAGATGTTAAAACCATGTTCGATTGAGGAAATTCTCACTTACTTCTGGTTCTACAGACAATCCAAAGTGAGAGTAATTAATCTCTCCAAAAGTAAAGGAAATACTATCTCAGACAATTAGGCACTTGTCAACAGACCAAGTGTTCCCACAGGAAGATTCCCCTCTATTCCTGTTCTGTGACAACTCAAAATTATGAATTTTCCCCTTACTTTCAGTGCGTGCCCTCATGTTGCAAACACAAACTATTGATGCTATATAAAATCCCATATAAGAATAAAAATAATAAAAACTGTTGTAACCAGGGCAAGTAGAGAGAGTGAATTTCCTTGGTAATGACAAAAAAAACATACAAACACGAGATTCAACGCCACAACACTACAAACAACAAAAACAAATTGGCTTTGGATCAGAGGCGGACTGACCATTTGGAAACTCGGGCACTGTCCGAGGGCCCGGGGTCAGTAGGGGGCCCTATGAGATGCCCTTGGTACCTTTTTCATAGGCTTTTTTGAGTTTGGGCAAGGACACAGGGGCCCCATGATCCCCTATTGCCCGGGGGCCCCATGAATTGTCAGTCCGCCCCTGCTTTGGATCCACTTTGACATAAGTCACCAATATTATGAAAATTAAATTTTGAATTTTAAATATTGTAAGCAACTAGGAGAAAATGAAGTTAGAATTACCACCAAGCTGAAAATATAATCCTTGTCCAGTAGCATATAGAGAACCAGTAGAGGAAGTCAGGACATCTTCACAAGCAGCAGATCATTGAATGACAGCTTTGTTCTCC